GGAGCGTGGTGTGGCGGGGCCCCTCCCCAGCCGCTCCAGCTCCCGGAGGGACCCGCTCCCGGAGCTCGCTCTGCAGACAGAGAGGGTTCGGCGCCCGCAGCGGCATCCCTCTCCGTCCAGGGAGCCCATCTGCAAGACGGATTTCTCCTGGTGGCAAAGAGCACACAAGGTTTCAGGGAAACTGCAGACCCTCTGGCAGGGCCTTGGTAAAGAAAGCCTGGAGAGGGGAAGAAGCAGAACCCACGACTCGTCTGGCCCTTACTTGCTTTTGCGGCACAGAGCCATCGCTCCTTGGGTCCCAGCTCCACTCGCTCCCGCTGCCCCACAGAACAACCGGGCTGGTCCACTATGAAACTGCAGAAGACGCCCTCGGCCACAGCCCAGAGGAGCTCCCCCAGCCACACCAGCTCCCACAGGATGGGTCTCTTGCTGTCCAAATCACCACTCCCACCAGTCCTTCTGCCGCATTAGCTTCCATATTTTAGGTTAAACCAGCCACCGTGCCGCACTCAGGCAGTGGATCTCCTCTGACTGCAGTCAAGGACTTGCCTTTCCTGACTCCCATGTGCTCTGACCGTGCCTGCGCTCTGGGCTCTTAAACAGGCCAGTTTTCTGAAGTTTCTTTCCTGACTTGCCAGAGGAGAGGCCTCTGCTGAACACAGACCACCCTGTCCTCTCTCCACCCGGCTGAACGTGGTGACTCAAGGCATAGCGGGCAATGGCGACAAGCTCCTGCCCGGCGCAGCAGGCGCATCTCCTCCGTGACCACCCCACCTTCCAGGTGCCCTGGCATCACAGGTCCGAGGCTCTGCAAGCGGAACCAACAACGACGAGGACGCCGGTTCATCTAGCCTGGAGGCGTTGCCAAGGTAAAGTTGGCCTATGCCCGGCGTCTAAACCGCTTCCATAAAGAAAAAAAGACGGGTCACTGTCATTGGAGATTCTCTCCTGAGGGGAGCAAAAGGCTGAACATGCACATTGGACGCACTCCTTAGGGAAGTCTGGTGCCTGCCTGGGACTCGGGTTAAAGACGTGAAGAGAAAACTTCCTACCTTGGTACGGCCCTCTGATTATTATCCATTATTGATTTTTCAGGTAGGCAGCAATGAAGTTGCAGTAAGAAGTCCAAGGGCAATCAAGATAGACTCCAGGGCCTTGGGACGACGGGTTAAGGGGTGAGGAGCACAAGCAGTGCTCTCCTCTATCCTTCCTAGTTGCAGGGAACGATGGAGGAAGAAACAGGAAGAGTCAGCAGATCAATACCCAGCTCCAAGCCTGGTGTCAGCAGCAGAATTTTGGGTTTTTTTGATCATGGGTTGGTCTACATGACACCAGGCCTGCTAGCAGCAGACACCTGTCTCAAAGGGGGAAAAGGATCTTTGCACAGGAGTTAGAAGAGCTCATTGAAAAGGCTTTAAACTAGATTTGAAGTGGGAAGGGGATAAAACGGGGCTAGAGATAAACTTGGGGGCAAAACGCCAATGTTTGAGGGACGGTGTGCTAGCGAGGTCCTTCCATCTGCTCCACAACGTGCTGAGTACAGTAGAGCACATCTCAAATGTCCCTACACTAATGCGCGCAGCACCTCTGCCATCTCAGAGGGGCTAGGGGATGAAGATCCACGCGGCAGCAAGGACGCAGGGGTTGTTGATGTATTGGAAACCACAGAAGTGCCTGAGAACCATCACATAGGAATTAGGGCTTCTCCCCAAAAAAAGGCGGCGGGATCAACAGCCCAACTGAAATGCATCTACGCCACTGCACACAGCCCGGGCACCAGATAGGAAGAGGTGGAAGCCGCTGTGCAGCAGGAAAACTATCACAGAGTTGTAGTCTGGAAACCTGGTGGGCTGACTCTCACAGCTGGAGTGTTGCAGTGGGTGGCTGTAAACTCTTCAGAAGGGGCAGGCAAGGAGGCAGAGGCAGTGGGGTAGCCCTGTGTGTTAGTGTTTTTGACTGTCTAGAGCTTGGGGATGCAGCTGGCAGCCAGTCACAAGTTGTGTTCCCAGGGCTCGGTATTGAGGACAATTCTGTTAAGTATCTTCATCCACGACCTGGACGAGGGATCGAGTGCACCCTTGGTAAGTTTGCCGATGACACGGAGTTGGGCGGGAGCGTCGATCTGCTTGAGGGTAGAAAGGCTCCACAGCAGGATCTGGACAGGCTGGATCGATGGGCTGAGGCATTTCACCCGACATCTAACTAACCTTCTGCAGAGGGCTGGGGGGGAGCCTGGCATTTACCAAGGACACGAGGAACAGCCTTTGGGAAGATCCAGGAGGAGAAAAGCCTGTGCTGCTTGCAGCACTTCCAGAAGCTCGGTCTCCAAAGCAAAGTGGGTGGAGAAATTTGTTGATAAGCCATTATTAAAAGAGAGCTCTTGATGTAGGCTCTCGGCTCCACCCAGACCAATAGAAAATTAAATACCCTTCCCATGTAAAAAATTATTTACAGACTGACTCTGCAATTGCACAGACCACCCGTGGCACTGCCAGAATCGCACTTGGCAGTGACATTGCCTTCATCTTAGCTTAACAGTTAAATGACTAGTAGAGAAAATAGCATGAAAAAGAACCACTTGTTCAGCTCAGAGAACTCTGAGCCATCTAAATCTTCTTCTGTTTAAACATACCCCAGTTTTTAATCACAGAAATGTCTAAAAAAATGTCCCCCCTTTTTTTTTTTTGTCCTTTTGGTGGTTCTAGAAACCAGAAAATGCCTCTTTGTTGTTGCTTTAGAAGACAGTCTATGACTGTTCCTACCAGTAAAAAGAAGGTACAGGATGAGAGATTTGGGAACACAGAACACATACAACACTGGCAAAACATACAGTCAACACACTGTGCTTAAAAATATCAGACATGAACATTTTTCACAAAATATATTGAACAGCACTTGCCCGTTAACAAATAACTGATCAGAGAAGCTACAGAACTTGAAGTTTCTTCCAGTGCTGCTCTGGACTTACATATTATCCCACCCGAGTCCGTGATGCGTGCAAGGTAATCATCATGAACAGAGGTAAAAGGCATCCCAGGTTTTCTTGATGTACATATCCTGCTGCTGTTTTCAGTGTTATGTTGGTTAAGCCGAAGCTCAAGTCATTTTCAATCCATCAAAGCCACAAAACTTCCACCTTTTCTCCAGGCTGGCCCCGACCCCACTCAGCTCCTGCCTGAATGTGTTCTGGAGTCGAGTCATAAGAACTTCCACTTCTGTGGTGCAAATCTGTGAAAACAGAGGCAAAAAATGTCACTAAAAATGGAGATGCTTTTGATTGTGGAAGCCCTGTAATGACTGGAGATATTCAAGCTCAAACACATTTAATTGCTAAAGTACACCTAGGCTTTCCCTA